CACACACACACACACACACACACACCCCTCATTTCTCAGCTTCCACCCTCTCCCCCACCCAGTCTCTATTTCTTAAGGCTGCTTGATGGGGCTATTGGTGGTGATGATGGTGGTGGTGGTGACAGTGACAGTGCTTGGAGCCTCTCAAGGACTTTGTGTCACCTCAGATCCTTTAGTTGCTTCGTTGAACGTGCTCAGCTTTCCTATCAAGCAGGAGCAGCCATTGTGCCCACTGTACAGATAGGGAAACTGAGACTCTGAACAGCTAAGGGACTTGCCCAAGGTCACAATGTCTGTAAAATTGCTAGAAGAAAACAAACCTCCTGACCGAGGCATCTTGGAAGGAGTGGATCCCTTGTTGGGTTGCAAATGAAGACCCCAAAGGGTTACCCCCAAATCTGAACATCCTGATGACTTAATAGGTAACCCGGGGCATGATGCCAAGCTCTCTTCACACTTCACACCTCATCCGTTCATGATCAATGCCCACAGCAAGGCTTTGACCATGGCAGTGTTCTCCTCGTGTGAAGGCGGGAAAAACCAGGACTCAGGTCAGGGAACTGACCACAAGTACACATGGAGGGAGGTGATTTGCTTGCAGTTCTTTGATGCTAAATCCTCCCCTAGAGACCTCTATCCAGTGCACAGACGCCCTTGGGAGCCCCGAGAGCCTCCAGAGCACCATTAGTCCGGACTTCCCCTCATCTTCCAGCATCCAGGGCTGTGTGAGCGGGCAGGCTGCACACTGCGCAAGCGCAGCCTGTGGGGAGGTGGGCTCTGAAAGCCAGCTCGTGCCATGCCCACCACACCATGCACCGGGGACTGGCAGCACCCCTCCGGGAGGAAGGCGGCTCTTGCCTCTGCTTTGCACAGAGGTGCCATGTTGATAGCAGTCCTTCCCTGCCCGCGCTGATGGGGGTACCAGTCATGGGCCACTGCAGCTGCTTTCTGGGGGTTACAACCCCACTAAGAGCCAGTGAGAAGTGTGTTCAGTAAGCATGGCCCTTGGTTCTGTTTACATTCCCTAGAGGAGGGATGAGTGTCTGTTAGTTTTGGGGGACATGCTGGCTGGTCTGTGCAGAACTGTGACGCCCCAGCCGGCGGGGAGAGTTAAACACAGATTAATTATCCTGCGACCACAAACAGCTTTGATGTGGGCAGATCAACTGCTTGGGTCCATTCGGCGGCAGCAGAGAGATTCCCTAATTGATGAATTTGCTCCCTCCCAGAGTGCAGCCCCCAAGGCTGTTTTTCCACATTATACTTTCTGTCCCTGTGCATCGGAGAGGTTGAGAGGTTCGTTAGTCTGTGATCCACCGTGGCTCCAATTTGCTCCTGTTGTTAGGTGCCGTCAAGTTGTGTATGACTCATAGAGACCTTTCGAACAACGGACCTGAGCCCTGTCCTGTCCTGTGCCATCCTCATCATCTCTGACACACTTAAGCCCGCTGCTGCAGACATGGTGTCCATCCATCTCATTGAGGGTCTTCCTCTCTTTTTTTTGACCCTCCACCTTGCCAAGCCTGTTGTCTCTTTCCAGTGAATAGCCTCTCTTAGCAACATGCCCAAAGCGTATGTGAGACGAAGCTTCACCAACCTTGCCTCGAAGGAGCATTTTAACTGCACTTTTCCAAGACATACCCGTTTATTCTGTTGACAGTCCATGGGATGTTGAGGGCTCTTCTCCAGCGACTACCATTCACTCAACATTTATTCTATGGGAAGCCCTTTAGTGATTAATAGTGATGAGACGTGAATCTCCAGAGCATGTGCAGTGGGCCAGGCACTGTCTGAGCCCTTCACCTGAATGAATGCCCTTAACTTTCACAGCACTCAGTGATTCACTGGTAAAGTTACCGTTTCAACAATAATGAGGCAGTTGGACAGAGAGAGTAACTTGACCAAGTCACACAGCCCAGACATGGTGGAGTTGGGATTCACCCAGGAAGCCTGTGTCCTAAGACCATGCTCTTAATCATACTTAGTCAGCATACACTGTGTGTACAGTACAGCCATGACCCATTTTAATTCCACAAGACTGGTTGCCCGCACCTTACAGTTGAGGAAACTGAAGCTCAGAGGGGTGAAGAGCCCTACTCATGGCCCTACAGCTCAACCATGATAATCTAGGATCAAAATGCAGGCCTGTCTGGCACCAGAGTTGCACACATTATTGTCTCCAGCATCTACTTTAAATTATGGGCTTAAAAATCAAATACACATTCTTTTTAGTGCTGAAAATAAAATCCCTTCGCCTGGAGTTGGCCTTGGCCTTAAGTTAGTGTTTAATGGGGAATAAAGAAGTAGTACTCTTCCTCTTCAGGCCATAGTCTTCGCAGTTACTTGCTATGCATCAGAGAGTTAGTTGGACAGAGACTAAGGATGACAGAAGAAATTATGCCTTTGAATTGCTGCTGGAGAAAAGTCTTGAACATAGCATGGACCGCCAAGAAAACAAGTAGGTCTGTCTTAGAGAGGGTGAAACCAAGTTTCTCCTGGGAGGCTAGGATTTTGAAGCTCTGTCTCACATACTTTGATTAGGAGGAGCCTGTCCTTGGAGAAGGACGTGATGTTTGGAATAGTGGAGAGACAGCGCAGGAGAGGAAGACCCCGGGTAAGATGGATTGAGACAATAACTGGGGCAGTGGGGGTTGGTGTGTCAGAATCAGTGAAACTGGCTCAGGGCAGGCTTCGGAACTGCTGTGCATAGGGTTGTTACAAGTTACAGGCGACTTGATGGCACATAACAACAGCAACCAACATTTTATTATTAAGAGCTTCAGACCTCCAAAAAAATTAAAAGAGTTGACTGGTAAGCACTCTGTTCACTTCCTGGTTATTTCCATTTTGTTGGCATTTATCACACATCTCTCTGTTTTATTTTGTGTGCATTTCAGGTAAATTGCAGACATCAGTATGCCACATCCCTAAGCAATGCAGTGCACACGCCACTGACTAAAATTCAATATTTACTTGCAATTTTTACAAGTAAAATATACGTAACGTGAAATGCAAAAATTGTAAGTGTGCAGTTCCTTGACAACTGGAAGTCACCTTTCAAACTTGAAGATACTGCCATCAGGGAGATCTGGTGGCCTAGTAGCAAGAAGCTGCGCTGCAATCCCAAAGGCATGTGGTTCAAATCCACCAGGTACTCTAGAGAAGGAGAAGCAGTCTCCTCCTGTGCCAGCTGAATCTGCTTCAGTGGTACACGACAAAGGGATAAAAGATAATGCCATCACCCCAAGACAGGCTTCTATTTGCAGCTTGTTCCCTTGCAAGCCATTCAACATGAATACTATCTGGGTTTTTCCCCCTTCTAAGTTGGCTCTTCAACAAATGATCAGATTAATCTCCTTGTAGAAGAGAGCTGGGCCTCTGGCAAGTGGCAACAGTATTAAGAACTACCATAATGGAATGATGTTTATAGGAGTTGAGTCTTGTTCTAATGTGTTACATTCATTCTCTTATTTACCCTTCTAACAACCACAGACAAGATCCCTGGATAGGTGCAAACAGTTTGCACTCTACTACTAACCATGTTAAATGGTGCCTTTGAGCTGTGGTGTTGGAGAAGCCATGTTGCACTGGGGAAGTCTTACTGTCAAGGACCTCTGCAAAGTACTAAGGAGCAATGATGTCAGATTGAAGACTAAGATGTGCCTGATTCAGGCTATGGTCTTTTCAGTCACTTGCTATACATCTGAGAGCTGGACAGTAAGTATGGCAGACAGGAGAAGAACTTATGCCTTTGAGCTGTGGTACTGGAGAGGAGTACTGAACATAGACCAGCAAAAGAGCAAACAGATATGTCTTGGAGAAAGTGCCACCTTAGTGCTCCTTAGAGGCAAGGAAGGTGAAGCTTTGTCTCCCATATATTGACCATGTTGTTAGGAGAGTCTATTCCTTGGAAACAGACATGATGCTTGGAAAGGTGGAGAGTCAGCAAAAAAAGAGGAAGACCCCGAACCAGATGGGTTGACATAGTGACTGCTGCAGTGGGCTCTGGTGCGTGAGAGATGATGAGGATGGCATAGGCACAGGGCAGGATAGGGTTCCGATCTGTTGTTCACAGGGCACTCGCCTCGATGGCACCTAACAATAATAACAACATCAGACTTAAAGATTAGTGGTCCAGGCAGCAAGTGGGAGGAAAAGAAAAAAGTCTACGTCCGTAAAGGTTGCATTCAGGGAAACACAAGGAAGCAGTTGTGCTGTCACACTTGGGCATCATGAGTGGGAAGCAAC